CACACACACACACACACACACACACACACACACACACACACACACACGAGACATCTGACAGCTTGAGAAGTTTGTGACTCTCCTCTCTGGATCTTCTTGTGTACATGGAAAGGAACGGAAGTCACTCTCTCAGCCCTGTAGCCCCAGCTTGCTTTCCCCCAGTACCAACCAGCATTGTCTGAATCATGCAGTTTTCAAGCAAACAAAGTACTGGTTTCATCCTTGTCAGAATCTGTTCTTTCTCCCCTAAGAGTACCTAGCCCTCACTGAAAATTCAGAAAATGAGCCGGGCGGTGGTAGTGCGTGCCTTTAATCTCAGCACTTGGGAGGCAGAGGCAGGCGGATTTCTGAGTTCGAGGCCAGCCTGGTCTACAGAGTGAGTTCCAGGACAGCCAGGGCTACACAGAGAAACCCTGTCTCGAAAAAACAAAAACAAAAACAAAAAACCCCCCCCAAAAAAAATTTCAGAAAATGTGTGTGTCACATTTTTCTGGGAGCCACCTGGTCACCTTCTCAGGGAGAGCATGATGCTCAGGAGAGGAAACAAAGGTACAACAGAGACAGACTCTAGCTAGGGAACCTCCGCAACAGAAGGACAATGACCAACCCACGAGACAGGTCTCAAGAGGTCTCCGGTCCAGGGAAGACAAATGAGAAACTGAATCAAGCAGCCCAGAGCACACTTGGCTGAGGGTAGGCCTTTGACCCAAACAAGGCAGATTCTTCCTTCTTGGGCTAAAGAGTATAAATTAGGCAATACTGGCTGCCAAGACTGCTTAAAAACAGAAAAATTCCATACTGTAACTGACCTATTAACAAATTTAATAGGTACTGAGAGCTAGACTTAATTTTAAAGGAAAGTTAAGTTCAATACATTCATCTTAAATGAGTGGAGGAAATAGATCTTAAATATCTGATGTAAGAACAAATTTAATAATCACAGAAGAAAATGAAGCTAAAGCTACACTCTTGATTTAAACCACTCGGAAGAAGCTCCAGGACTGACTCTAAAGGCCACACCAAGAACACACTGTGAAGATACTCAGTACGGTTCTGGACCTGCGGTCAACTTCCACAGTGTGTGCGAGCTGGAGTTAAGAAAGGAGCAAGAGCCTGCTGCTACCCTGGGCATCACTACCCTGGGCACCTGCTCTTTGCTGAGGGCACACGGGCAGGCAGGGTATTTACTTTTGAACTACATGAGAGCACTGACACTAAGGGTGCACATGCTTAAAAAGTCAAGCCAAAGAATTCAGAGGTGATGTCATAGTAAACACACACCAAGCCCTCCCGCTCCCACCCACAGGGGCGTGGTGAGCTAAGTGAATGCAAACAGTTCCTCTCCCCGTCAGGATATGTCATTCATTCTTCCTGGGGCACCCCAAATCTTGGGGGAAGTGGAGGGGGTTTTTCCCGTGGGGCTGTGACGGACCCTCCTGCGGCTCAGGTGACGCACCGGGAGCGCTCACTCACCATGTGGACGGCCTCCGGGTAGATGGGCTCTGTGATCACATTCCGGTTGTGGGTGATGTATTCCACCATCTCGCTCAGCGCAGCTCGCTTTACTTCCTTCCACTTCAGGTCACTCAGTGGGTCAGAAACAAAGTCAAAGAGGACACAACACTGACGTAGCTTCTGGATAAAAAGCTTCTCTTGATCCGCAGGAGGAACATCTGAAAGATGGAGAGAGCAAGGGGCTGTCAGTCACAACGATGCTTAACCCACAGGGCCAGGAGATAAGCTTAGCCTCCGAGTTTTATTGTGAATTAATAGAAGTGCAAGAAAAGAGATGGGTAAGGTAACAGGGGTTAAATATCCCTTCAACAGTGAAAAGGGCGTGTGTACCCCACAGCTGGCCGCTGCTGACATCACAGGCTTGGCATGATTGACAGCACCAGTCACAACCAACCCTTCTGAAGGCACTCAATGGACAAATACTTTCTGGGCAGCATTCCCCTGGGCTGGGGGAAAAGGGGTGAGAAAAGGCAGCAGACAGGGAGGCCAGGTCTGGGTGATGGCGGCAGAGACAGATATGGGATGGGGAGAGACTTCCACCTGCCCAAACACAGCAACTGCATCTGACCTGCAGTAAGGGCAGCCTCTTGATTTGTCTCAAAGTCCCTTCTGTTCCTCCCTCTGGGTGACATGTGTACAATGGCTGTAACGTAGCCACTGTGATCATAACCAGACTTCTTCAGTGAGCACTTACTTATTAAGATACTGACACTTTTCACTTCATTTCTTTTTAGGATTTATTTATTTATTTTATGTATTCACCATTGCTCTCTTCAGACACACCAGAAGAGGGCATCGGATCCCATTACAGATGGTTGTGAGCCACCGTGTAGTTGCTGGAAATTGATCCCAGGACCTCTGGAAGAGGAGTAAGTGCTCTTAACCACTGAGCCATCTCTCCAGCCCTTTTCACTTCATTTTTAATGAGACAGCAGAGATGCAGAGGCACTGTCAGGCTGGCGGGCAGTGAAGCTGAGCTGGACTCAAAGACAGCCCCACACGGCAGTCCAGGGTTCCGAGTTTAGAAAGCTTTAGCCACCAGTGTCAGGCGGATGGCTTCTCTGGGCTGAAGAGGAGGCCAGTGGTGACGACAGCGGGGTTCACACACATGTGTGTGGAGCACGCCAAAGGCTAGCCAAGTATCCCAGGGCATGTGTGCACCTCTGCCAGGCAGTACTTCCCCAGGATTAGTAAATGGTACTAGGATACTGTCCAAGAGCCAAACCATGACATCAGGGGTGCAGGGACCACTGGATTCTTGTAGAATAAAATGTGCTGCACCTCATCTGTCTCAGAGTCACATGCAGACTAACCCCTTAACAAGCCACTCACTCATTAAATTCTGGTAAGATGGCCACAATTCTCTCTAAGGGGCTCTTTCAAGACCACACCTTCCCATAACCAACACCAAAGAGCGACAAGGCCAAAGGCTGGTGTAGAACAGAAGTGTAGGGGAGAACCCAGTCACCCCCTGGTAAACCAGACATCACAGAGATTACTCAAAATACAAAACCACATCATTCTTCTCTCTAAAGGGTTACTCTGGAAAATAAATAAATTTCCATAAAACTGTCAAGTTCTCTCAGTATATATTTTATTTTATTACTAAGTTAATTTTAAGACAGGTTCTTGGCTAGCTTAGAATATGACACAGATCAGGCTAACCTCAAAATTGCAGTGACCCTTCTGCCTTTGTTTCTCAAGTGCAGAATACACAGGGGTCAGCCTGTAATTCATTACATTTTAAAATGATTCATAAAAACATTAACTTTTTCTTTTTGAGTTCCCCACCTCTGGCTTAATTTCAAAGGTGAACTTGCATAAATTCTTCTGAGTAAGGCCCTGAGAGCACCTTCCCAGGTGAGCCTCCCCAGCAAGCATCCCTGACTAGGTGCTGCTCTGCTCTCTTCAGCTCATGGCCCTCCTCGGCACTCCGACTGGCAGCTTTCTGATCCGCTTTCCTACAAGGCCCTTCTTTCCTCACTTCCTGTCACTCAGCACCTACAGCAAACAGGCGGCTGGTTGCTTAGCATCCCTCACTTCCTGTCACCCAGAATCCCTCACTTCCTGTCACACAGCACCTACAGCAAATAGGCGGCTGGTTGCTCAGCACCCCTCACTTCCCTAGATGCCATGAAGGCAGGCGCCTTCTGATGACAACGGCTGGTTGCTCAGCACCCCTCACTTCCCTCTGAATCCTTAATGGCTAAGCTTAGGGAGAACAGATGCTGATACATGAATTTCATAATCAAGCAGAGATAGCAAACACTGAAGCGGGTGAGGAGGCTGGGATGGACTGCTGAATGACACCCGAGGTCACGAGAGCCACCATCATAGCACACCATCATGACACGCAGAGCCCGTGGCCATCTCAACCCAATGCTTTCCAAGGAAAGGGTGTGTTTCCTGAGTTATCCTCCTCCTAGCCTCTGGTCCTCGGGAACCCTTGTTCACGTTCAGTCTTGTCAGGATGCCTTAAATAGGCTTAGAGTTGACACAGCCTGCCTATGAAGATTCTGCCTGTGCTTGCTTTCTTTTCTCAGCAATACAGAGAACCAAGAAGCCCACAGGAAAGCCGGGTGATGATGGCACACGCCTTTCATCCCAGCACTTGGGGGGGGGGCAGAGGTGGGTGGATCTCAGTTCTAGATCTAGCTTGGTCTACATAATGAATTCCGGGCAGTAAGGGCTACACAGTGAGCCATATCTTTTTTTTTTAAATATTATATTTTTTCCTTTTTTTAAAGATTTATTTATTATTTATGAATACACTGTAGCTGTCTTCAGACACACCAGAAGAGGGCATCAGATCTCATTACAGATGGTTGTGAGCCACCATGTGGTTGCTGGGATTTGAACTCAGGACCTCTGGAAGTGCAGTCAGTGCTCTAAACCACTGAGCCATCTCTCCAGCCCCCAGTGAGCCATATCTTAAAAAATACAAATTAATTAAAATAGGGGCTGGAGGTTTGCTTCAGGAGCATTTGCTGCTCTTGACTAAGACCAACATTTGACTCCCAGCGCACACATGGTAGTTTGCAACCATCTGTTTCCAGTTCCAGAGCATCTGAAGCCCTCTTCTGACCTTTGGAGGACAGAAGGCACACATGTGGTGCATGGATACTTACGCAGGCAAAACACCCAGACATATAAAATAACGAAGAAATCTAAAAAACTTTAAAAAATAAAATATTTCATCTGGCTATTAAAAAAAATAGCAATGAACTAGGGTTGCAAAGCTAAAGTAATGCATTTCCTGTCAAATATCTCCATGTCTTAACAACACAAGTTAACTTAAGGCTTCTTGGTCAGGGACAGCACAAGAGGCTAGAGATGCCAGAGGACCGTGCTTCATCCCGGATAGCCATGCGCCTCTCGGTGCTTCATCCCGGACAGCCGTGCTCCTCTCGAACAGCTTGTTATGCATTAGTAACTTCAGCCTGCCTGGCTTCCATCAATTTCTTATGAACGTGAAGCAGTTCACACCTGCTGCTGCTGCTAAGTCCTAGATGATGCTAAGGCATGAGGCATACGGTGTCTGCAGGGAAGGAATGGAAGGAAGACACCTGCCCTGGGCCTCAGAAACAAGGGAGCTGCTGGCTCACGCTCAGACTCCTGTCAGTGGCTATTCAAGGACTCACAGAAGCCTGCAGCGATCTTCACTGCCCAGTGCTCACACTTGCCGACCATCAAGACAGCTGGAGCACACACCTCCACTGTGTGCTGTGTGTTGGAAGGAACGCAGAACACTCAAGCAGTGTTAATAACACTGTGGGCCAGTGAAGAACACTGCGGGCTTTTCTGAGTCCTGAATAGTCACTAATATAATAGCCAACAGCAGATATGAACTTACGATGCATGCCTCAATTACAGAATTGACTGACAACTCCAGGTACAGATTTTAACCCAAATCATGGGACGTGTGACGTAACAGGACAAGTGACTCAATTGCCTCACTGTGCCAAGAGGCATTATGTGAACTCTGACTTGAAAAAAAAAAAAGTCAAGGAAGCCAGCCTAATTGGTAAAGTACTCATGCATGCACAAGGACCTGTAAGCACACACATATACACACATACACACACAAAGCAAACAACAAACCCGAAAGCCGAGCCTTTCTCTATACTGCAAGTTTAGTTAAAAGGATCTCTGGTCAGGTGTGGTCTAACCATATAACTCCAGTTGGCTTGGAACTTGCCATGTAGACCAGGTTAGTCTGGAACTCAGAGATCCTCTTGCCTTTGTCTTCTGAGTGCTGATATTTAAGGCGCATGCCACCACGCTTAGTACTTTGTGGGGATTTTTTTCTTTGAAGATTTCTTATTTTATGTTGTATACGTGTTTTCCTTGCATGTATGTCTGTTCATCATGTGTGTACGGTACCCTCAGAGGCCAGAAGAGGATGCCTGATTCTCTGGAACTGGAGTTACAGATGGTTGTGGATCACGGGTGGACACCATGCAGTAGAGCTGCAGTGGGCAAGTGTGCTCCCTGGAGACAGCCCACTGACCTGCTCAGCTGCCATGGGGGAGCTCTGGGGCAGCAGAGTCCCAGAGACGTCATCCCAGGACTGACTGCTTCTCTCTACTGACGTGTTTTCTCCTGTTTGTCATTGCCACACTACTCATTTATGTGGCTTGGTGTGAGTGGACACTGGGAGACCCTCACTGCCTAGAGTCTTATGTGATTACTTTCTCAGAGATAGCCCACCGTATTGCAGATCAACTTAAGATGTTGATTTATGCTGTTTAGATGAATCAATAACTTTACAGAATTCCTGATTTGATTCAAATAATTTTAGGAAGGAAGTTTAAGGAGATGGTTTTAGTTGTTTTGCAAGAAAGATGTAATAAAGTTAGAATCAAGAACAGAATGTGGCCTCTTCTTACAGAATAGCTAGTAAAGGCTGCATGATAAGGAATACAAGGAGCTTTCATAAATTGTACTAAGAAGAGAAATTGGCTTGGGACAGATGTGTGATCAAGGAAAAACATTCATTCTAGTTCATGTCCAAGGATGAGGCCACAGGTATACACCATGATACAGCAAGGCCACGTAAAACTGTGGCTCTAAACTTATAATGAGCTTAGAGAATGAAGCACTGCTTTGAACTTAACATCAACATCCTTCTGTAACTCCTTTTGTGTAACATTTTATCTGTGAGGT